AAGACTATGGATTTGGTCTCATATTTTCTTGTCACATGTCAATAGACAACCTACACTGAGTCATCTAAAATTTAAATCGTGACAACACGTTCCGACAACTCTATACTCAATCTGAGTAATGAGGTTACTAGATACGAGAAATAAAAATGAACAAGAGGAATTACACTTTGTTATTGGCTTAAAGCAAAAATGGATTTTTGTGATAACGAATAGTGACAATTAAATGATGATTGAGGAGGTGGGATTAGCTGTATGAACAAATGGTAGGTCCCAATGTACCGCTCTATATGCTAAACGAATATGAAAACCTCCTAACATAAACAAACTTTCATGATTAGTCATACTTTTCAAATACAGAAATGTGGGTACCATTCTTTCCAACTTTCTACTTCCTAATAATCACTTGCAATTTCACTGATCATCATCATGCCAAAGTTACAATTTTGTAGTGATATTTCATCGTCCACCGAATATTTGTCTGATCTTGTAAGTAAGAATAATATTATTTAGTCACAGCGGTACTAACTATAAATTTGATTATACTATCTGTATATAAAGATTTACACATGGTTAGATATCAGAATTTCTTCAATCAAATAAAAAAAAAAAAATCACTCTCTTTTTGACACCTCATTTGTATGTTATGCCATGTTTGATACTACCTTTTTTCCATGGAATTAGAAATTAAATTCCATCTTTTTCAAAAAAAAAAAAAATGCATGTTTGATTGGCAACATTTTCTTGGTTTCTAGCCACGCGCCCATCTTTCCATGTTTTTGGTGAAAACGAATTCTCACCTTTTTTGTGAGAATTTGGTTTCCAACCTGCCTTTNAATACTAAACTTTGATTAAAAAATGATTTTTTAGGAATTTTTTTTTTTTTTACTTTTTGGCAATTGAAACAAATTTTATAATCAGTTGTAAAAAAAAAAAAATTCACTTTAATGGACAATTTTCATGTAAAACGAAGTCAAACGAACACTAAACTTGGATGAAAATTTTTATTTTTATTTTTTTATTTTATACTTTTGGTAATGGATACAAATTTTGTAATTGTGGAAAAATTTATCACTTTAATGGATAATTTTCATGTAAAACAAAGCCAAACGAACACAAAAAGATCCAAAATTTTAAAAATTTTCCAGTGAAAAATTATACAAATTAAACACACTTAATTAACAATTCCCTGAAAAACAAGTTCTAGATAATTATTTTCTCTGAAATTCATTTTCTTTCCACCCTTACAATTAAATGGTACCCTTAATAATTATGTACAAATAACATTATTCCTCCAAGATTATGTGGTCGTGGAGTCAAAGAATAAAAATGTGTCTAAATTTTATTAGATGGATTATCTTTATAAGATATTCTAATAACGGCTATATTTTCAATTTTAATTGAATTTTAAGCTTCTCCAAACATGCTCTTAGTTATTTATCTATAATTTGACATATATAGTTATTTATTTTAAAATTTACTCATTGGTTTGCCAGTAAACTTTTTATACCTTTCCTAACATCTTGTCTATTTGGGAGGAGAATTTTGAAACTAATCCAAGGCTTTTAGGGAAAGTAAAAAGGGCAAAACAACATGGGTTCAGTGACTATACTAGATGGAGATTTGCAAAAGCATCTTTCATAAGTAGCTCATATATAGTTTCAACTATTTTTCCTTTTAAAACACAATAAAATCATGTTTTATCTCTAAAAATACATCACAGAAAAGATTGTTATAAAAAGATATAATAGAAAAAATATGTTCAAAAATACTCTTTTGTTTAACGTTAGATCCGTGGAATTTAAAAATGGTAAAACTACTACAACTTAATTCATGAACCCGATGTGATGAGATACATAACATTAAGGTCAAAAGATAAAATGGAAACTATAAGACTCATAACATTGTGAAATCAATCGCATCGAGTGCGCTTGAGCTAAAATCGTGCCACAGTATGAGGGGCCTATAATCTTCCTAAAATAATACAATAAAGAGCCTTATAATAGATGCACAACTAGATCAACATTTATTATAAAAGCAAGCACAAAGTCAAGGTGCCACTTTTGTCAAATCAACAAATATGCTCAAGTTAGTACTAGCATACTTCGAACGCCTATAACTCAACATATTATAATTGAGGGATTAAGATTTTGTCAAAATTGTATAGGATCAGACACTTTACCTTATCGACAATGATCAATAGTTCTATCCAAACGCTAATTCAACTTGCTAAAAGTATGTCAAGTTATTATTACATCTACCATAATTGGCTTGATCGACACCATGTCTATCACCCCTACATCTAGTAATATGGTTCAATAACCTATGAAAATTTTGCAAACTTTAGAGATTTGGTTCATGAGTTAGATGACATGTGTAAAACGATTTTTACGTGAACACTTATGGCATCGAAATTCTACAAGATACAGACTCATATATTGAAGTTGTTCGACAAAGATTTTAGTAAAAGTTGGTGAAATATTTAATTATGAAATTGATAAAAACTGCGGATAACATAAAATTAATTATTGAGGTAACATTGAAATCAACTTTTTAAGTTTTCCAAACAAAGCACTAAAGAAAATAATTTATGAACTACATTAATTTCACCAAAATAAGTTTGTTAACTACCACGTGGTCGGTGCATGATCAATCACGATGGCTCACCTTCTACGAAAAGTGCACGACTTCGTCGATAACACAATTTACAAAAAAAGAAAAAGAATATGAGTGTCCTTCTTCATTACTCAAAAAATAAAAAATCCACCGACTGTTCCGAGTTTAAATTAACACAATCCCACGTTCATTTTAAAATGTTATTATGCAAAATGAACCTCATTTCTGTCTGCAAAATTTTTATTCTCCCTCTTGAAATGTATGTTTTTTTCATTATTTTTCAAGAGCAACATTTTTTTATTCCTCCTAGTGTTTGGATTTATTTTTTTCAAGAACTCTACTCAATTTAAGTCCACAAAATACAGCTCGAGATTCACGTGTCTAAAAATTAAACATGAATAATAGATAGTTACTAGAGTAAATTTTACGCTCTACAAATTGAACGGATACTTTTAATTTTTTATTTTAGACTCAAACTCAATTCCACTTACAAGTGTAATTGATTCAACACAAGACGACGCATCGAGTAGTTATTGTTCGGACTAAATATTCTGTTTTCGAAGGATTTCTATTAGGGAATTATTGAGAGTAATTACCCAAGGCCCAAGGCCACACCACCAGGTCCAAGCGAGGTTCCATCCCAAAACCAGTTAGTAATGGGTGGAGTAGCTCACTAGGGTTATATGGTGGATTTATTTTCTTCCCACAACCGATGTGGGACTTGTTTGCCCCAACAAG